ATCTTTAAATCTTTAACAAATCTCTCATTAATCCCGGCTAAGTAGATTAAAACCTACTGCAGGCTTTAAAAGGAAGCAAGCTGCTCAGTTGTAGGGCACTGAAAATATAAATGGTGGAAAAACAGTTAAAACAGATTGGCTGACAAATACCAGGAAGTAAGCGGCTTTCATGCAAGTAGTACCTAAGGGGGAACAGAGCAGGATGTTTGTTCCCAGTGCTCGGAGTACTTACGATTCTTCTTGTGGATCAAGTGTGCAGAAGTATATGCGAGGGTGCAGGCTGTTCAAGAATTCTTTCTGTAATACGTTCAGGTGTTGAGGTAGGGCTCAGCTTGATGTTACAGCCGTGAATTTCAGAAAGGCCTGAACATCCCCTCTGTTCCTGTACCTACAGGTCTGTTCAGAGTACGCGGAGCTTTCACCATCTGATTTGTGGGTGCAAGGGGTAGTTAAATACCTACGGACTGTCAAATGCACCCAGCACTGGAAGGGGCTTCTGTAATTGACAAACCAAGCTGAGATTTTGTGGGCTCAAACTCTCAGTAGGATTTGTTCCTGTAACCCTTCTGCCCATCTAAGTTGGCAGCAACAAGGGCCGGGTTCTGTATCTAGGGGTTCCATTTCAATAACACAATGCAAAACCGGCTCGAGCCCCCACCCAGTGACCTGGGACAATTACATACCACCCCCCTGGGTACCTCTAAGAGGCAATACTTCCCCTCTCGCAAGCACGGAGTCTGAGTGTAGCAGAAAATGTTTAATAACATGAGGTAAACGACATTAGCATAAAATTGGAAAAACACCACAAACAGGATTCATAACACAAACCATGAGCAAAACCCACCCCAGCAAATGGGGCTGTGTCCTTTCCCTTTGGTTCTTGAATCCAGCAACCCAAAAATCACCCAGAGTCCCCAAAGTCCAACAGCCCCAAAGTCTCTTGGGTCCAGCAACCACCCAAAGTCCCAAAAGTCCAACAACCCCCAAAGTCTCTGTCCCTGGTCAGTGCAGCCCCAGAGTAAAAGGGAGGGGCACGCAGGGTGTTAAGGGGCACCTTACGTGATCCGAGGCTGGCCAGCCGTCTGTTTCTCCGTGGGGGTTCCGCCGCAGCCTTCACCACAAGCCAGTCCACTTTCCTGCCACCCCACGAACTGCTCCGCTCTACAAGCTGCTCCGCTCACCGACCTGTGAGCCGTTCCAGCCGTCCCCGCAAACAGCTCCGCTCGCCGTTCCTTGGGCCACTCCAACCGGCCCCGCAAGGCTCCACGCCGCTCACTGCTCCTCCAGTCGTCCCCACAAATTGCTCCGCCAGCTGCTGAGCAATATAGCTTCAGGCTCCCCCACTAGTTAACACAGCACTCAGTGATCTCAGCTCTTAATAACATCAGCTCTTTTGTGATTTCAGCTCTTAGCAATTTCAGCTCATAGTATAGTAGGGGAGCCCCAGTGCTGGTGCACCATTGGCCCAAAGTGAATTCAGCTCAGCAGCCTGTAACTAGACTCCTAAGGGAATCAAAGTTAGCTCTGACATTCAACAGTGGAGAGAGGAGGCGGTGCAATTGGTGTTTCAAACCCTCAGAGGGGGCCCATACCATCAGGTACAAATACCTGTCCCCATCCTCTCTCCATTCACTGGGTTTTGTAACCCATGCCCCTTGTCAAGCAAGTGCTACTTAGGTAATGGTGAAGGACTCACTCAGTCCTTCTGTCATACAACAGGTCCACTGGCCTTGATTCACAGAATCAGGGTAACAAAACTTTATTCTTCCTGCCCCAATAATAGAGAAACTGGGGATCCCACACCAGCCAAAGTAACCACTTTCAGTTGCTGTGTTTCGTGCCAGGCGAGTGGGTGTGCCTATGCAAACAAGATCAGCCCCTGGAGTTCTTTTCCACACTCGCCATAATTCGCCACCAGATGTCAGGGTAGAGCTCATCCTGCCTCTGCTTACATTCCAATTATAACCGAAATTATGGATTTATTCATTAAACCTTCTGTTCCTTTTCCAAGTTCAGACAGTTTGTTACAGCTTTTTAAGAAAAAATTCTGAATGGAAATTCTCTAAACATTTTATTTTTACATTTAATAAATTCATGGGAAAAAACCCTCATGGTTCATGTTTTAGAATCCAGCTATGTAGTCTGGGGCATGTTGTCCTTCAGCAACCTCTTTTTTATTTTTATACTCTCCCTCTTTTTTCACCTGTCTGTCTGTGTCCCTGCCCTTTCTCCCACTGTATGTTTGCTGGTCCTTCTCCATTAGTGGGAGAACTAGACCTGTGAATGTTGGCTCTTATATGTCTTAAATCTGCCCAGAGTCCTTAGCCCCGGGATTTCAAAGAAACCACCATGACAGTTGGCAGTGAGAATTCTGGGTTGAGATCTGATGCCCCGGGGTGTCATGTGGCTGAATGAAGATTGCTCATCGGGATTAAAGGTGACAAACAAGGGAGCTGGCAGGTTTGCTGAGCTAAGTGAGAAGGAAGGGAGATCAGGAGACTGTTTGTGGGATGTCACTGGAATTTTGAAGAAGCAATGTTGACTGACTGACTGACTCCTTTCTGCGTGACCATATCCACCTCTGAGCCCAGCTTTGTAGAAGTTGAAGGCTCCTGCAATCCTTTCTTCTGCTGCTTACCTCCTGTGTTCCCAGGAATGCAGAGTCTTCAATGTAAGCTGCCTTAGTTCACAATCTCATGGGTCTGCACCACTCTGGTTGATAGTGTTCAGTCAGTGGGGCCAAAGGTAGTGCTCCTGTTTTGTACCATATGCTCTGAGATAGGCCAGAACAGTGATCTGAATGTGGATGATACAACTAAGCTCTTGATTTGCTGCACGTTTATTTCCTATATGTTAGAGGAAGAGAATCTTATTGAAGGTTATAATCCTGCTATGGCAATTGTTCTGTTAAAAACACTGGCACTTCTAGTTAAACAAAATGACCTTTTCTCCAGCCACATCAAGGAAATGGCTGAAAAATGTTCCTCATACGGTAAATAGTTCTTGTCGTTTGCTTCAGACGATCACAGGATATTGTAGCTAAATGCTGAGATCTGCCCAGCCTGCTCCCCAAATGCTCAGTTTCCTGGCCCTGCAAATTGCCTAAGGGTGCAATAAGTAGGTTAATATTTGCTTTAGGGTTAGCCTGAGGGTTGGCATTCCCAGTAGGCAGAGCCGAGTTCTGTTTGTGGTGGTTGTGTGTGTCTGTGAGCTTATGCACATATGAGCCTGCAAGGTGATTTTCATTTGCTCCCATTTTGTTGTTGTATGTTGTTCCCTTGTCATTTTTACCGCAGCAGTCGTGACAGCTATGTTTGTTACAGACAGGCTCCTACCGACCTACACACACACACACGCTTGTTGATTATTAAATAGTTGCTTTTTTGCTGCAATTTGCTTTTTGTCTCTCCTCTGTGTTCATTAGTTCCTACTATTGTCCTGCCCAATTTCTGACTCCTTGGTTGGGAACAGGCGGTGGGAGCAAGAGACAAGGGGAGAGAAGTGGAGGAAATGCAAACGTGGAATTTGCGTCTCTGACTGCACAGACAACTTTATTACAACAAGAGGAAATGGATGCTGGTGTGTCTTATGCTTCCTAGCCGTAGCCTACATGCTGGACCTGAAACCCCCATTATTTTGCTTAGGGACCCAGAGCCAGCCAGTGCTGTCCCCAAAGTGGGCAGCACCAGCCAGGGGCCCAGGACATGCATCAGATGAGCATATCCCCTAGGCATTATCCACCAGCGAGGGGTCTGTGGAACCCAGAATGTAAGTTAAAGCTCTTTCCTGGAGAATCCCTGTGCCTAGCTCTGTGAAGAGCAGCTTCCTCCACTGGCTATGGGGATGCAAATTGCATCCCCAGCCTGTCTTAACGGGGTGAATCGAGTACCACATATTCCCCTCCTGTGGGAGAGGAAAACTCACCTGTAAATCTCAAGGGGTGTATTAGCTTGACAGTCTGCTGAATCTTCACCTTGGAGAGGAAGGGCTGGCAGCTCTGCAGACAGTACAAGGCGCATGGCTTGCCAAATGCTTTATTGGGCTGAGATCTGTAGGAAAACACCCTACAGCTCCCTGTCCCACAAGAGAGATTCCCTCCATGCTACCTCAAGTCCCCACCACTCCAGCCCCAGTCGCCTGGCACACCATCCTACTGGGCAGCCATTGATTTGCCATTTTGAAACTGCTGTGTGGTCCTTGAGTCCTTCATTTTTCCTGGGCACACTGTCTTCTGAGCACCCACATAGCAGCCACAAAGGAGATGGGGATGACTAGGTGGTGGTGCAGAATGCTACCACCTAGCTGCCTTCCCCCTCCCCCACCTATTCTTGTAGATTTTTTTTTTGTGATTTTGCTCCCCTTTGCACCATGCATCGGATGGGAGCATCTGGGTTCCTGTGTGGACGGTCACGGCCATGTAGCTGCTGTCTCTTTACCATGCCCTACCTACTGAAGACAGTGACTGTGTATACAGGGCTTTTGGTGTCCCCTGCATGGGTCCTACAGCCTTTCTGCACTCTGCCTCACTAGTGTCCTTAGGAAGAGGCTCTGCCAAGCCAGACAGTGGCATGGGGGGGGAGGTAGGGATTGGGGCTAAATCCCAGCCGGGATTCTTCCTGACCTACGCAGTCAGGGGCAGCTGAATGTGAACTTCAAAAGGGCTATTGTCATGAGAGGCCAGCCCTGGGGTTTGCTGACCAGAAGCAGACGCTCCGAGATGTAAGAGCTGCGCTGTTTATGGTGGGTTTTTATTGCTTGCTAGAGTTTAGACTGTTCAGCTGCAGGAAGGAAATGTGGCCAGAGACTTTGTATTTTGTCAGCTGAATCCTGTAAATTAGCAGTAGTTTCTAGAGAGGATGTCTTATTGCTTAACCTGGGCCACCTGTGCACATTCTCTCTGGCTGCTAAGAGTCATGTGTGGAAGTCACAATGACACGTCTCTGATTTCTGTCCTTCCTCTGCCGGGAGTCCCTTTTCACTGGTATTTTCATTTGTTTCAGTGTCACTCCACCACAGCAAATGATGGAGCAAGAAGAACTGAGAGTTCAACTGGCATCTAAAGAGCAGCTTATTCATCAGTTAAACGTCCATCTGAGGGAGGCAAATCACAGCCAGGAAAAGTCAAAAGCAGAGGTAGGTTCTGCCTTGCTTGCAGGCACCATGTCTCTGCTCTGAATGAACCATGCAGGAAGGTGTCTGCACAGGTGTTTCTTGCAACTCAACTGCTTGTAGCACTGCTGGGAAGCCTAGCTCTGTGAATCCTAAAAGAGTCCAGCCCATCACACATGACGACCACTTACGATTGGCATTGGGAAAGGAGTAGCTGGTGAAGGTGAAAGATTCAGATTCCAGGCCACTGATTTACAGTGAGACAAGATGACACGGTGCTGAAAGGATTGCCCAAGTGATGGAGTGACCATAGATTGTGGCTAGTGGTGACTGGGTTGATGGGGGGTTATCACTGAATCTGATCACAGGTAAGGAAAGGAAAGGATCCCCAGAGGCAAGTTAAGAGGAGTCGTAACCACATAGACACTAGCACTATGATTGAAACAGACCCTCACAATTCCCATTGTGAAATCAAGCTAGTCATTTTGAAAGATCTTCCATGGCGGGAACATGAAAACATCTGCTCAGTGCAGAGTGCCAGTCAAAAAGACTAACAATGTTAGGAACCATTAGGAAAGGGATAGATAATAAGATAGAAGATATCATAATGCCACTACATAAATCCATGGTACGCCCACACATTGAATATTGGGTGCAGCTCTGGTCACCCTATCTCATAAAAGATTGATTAGAATTAGAAAAGGTGCAGAGAAGGGCAACAAAAATGATTAGGAGTGTGGAGCAACTTCCATATGAGGAGAGATTAAAAAGACCGAGACCATTCAGCTTAGAAAAGAGACAACTGGGGGGGGAATAATAGAGGTCTGTAAAATCATGAATAGTGTGGAGAAAGTGAATAAGGAAGTGTTATTTCACAAAACTCAAGAACCAGGGGTTACCCAGTGAAATTAATAGGCAGCAGGTTTAAAACAAACACAAGTTCTTCACTCAGTGCACGGTCAACCTGTGAAACTCGTGGCCAGGGGATGTTGTGACAGCTAAAAGTGTAACTGGGTTCAAAAAAGAATTAGATAAGCTCATGGGGGATAGATCCGTCAATGGCTATTAGGCAGGATGCGCAGGGATGGTGTCCCTAGCGTGTTATTGCCAGAAGCTGACAATGGGTGACAGAGGATGGACCACTTGTTGATTACCTGTTCTGTTCATTCCCTCTGGGGCATCTGGCATTGGCCACTGTCGGCAGACAGGATACTGGGCTAGATGGACCTTTGGTCTGACCCAGTATGGCCGTTCTTATGTTCTTATCTGCAATAGGTGCATTGCCCTCATTTGTGAGAGAATGTGTTAGCTAAGATGATCAGGTGATGTAAGATAAGATGTAGCCCCATGCTCTGGGTGTCCCTAAACATCTGACTGCTAGAAGATGGGACTGGATGACCGAGGATGGATCACTCAATAATTGCTCTGTTCTGTTCTCTCCCTCTGAAGCATCTGGCACTGGCCACTGTCGAAAGACAGGATACTGGGCTAGATGGACCATTGGTCTGGCCCAGTCTGGCCATTCTTATGTTCTTACTTTCTTATACATCCTTAAATATGCATATAGCTAACTACCAAGCAGTGATGGCCCGGTATCAGTTTGAATTGTGGGAGAAGATGGCTCTTTGCACAAGCATCTACCAGAGGACTAAAGGAAGTTGACATCATCCATTATTAATGAAGGCCAAAATATAGCCAGACATGCCCTTAGGGCATCATTTGCCATATCTGATGCTGTCTCTAGATCACTGGCAACAGCAATAACTCTATGTAGACATGCTTGGCTACGTTCCTCTTCTCTCCAACCGGGTCAGGGCCAAAATAGAAGATTTACCCTTCGACGGAGATGGTTTATTTAGTGTTAAGACTGATGACACATTGGTAAGCTGAAGGAGATTCTGTTACAGCTAGGTCTCAAGGACTCATGCTAGCTTACAGAAGAACTTGTACCCCAGTGTTCAGATATCACAGACAGCACATACCACCTTCTTCATCCACTTCTTATCAGAAGAGGCAAAAGTACCATCAGCAGCACTATCAGCAACAAACATTCTCAGATACATGACAGGAAGAAACACTTCAAACTTCATATGAGGACAAAGAATCCCTCAGCCACATCTGCTTTACCACATGCCAAGCCTCAGGTTTGACCTGTTAGTTGAGACCTTCAAACCAATTTTAGTAAATCAATTTGGGAGCCCTCTGTCCAAATTTTACAATTCTTGGACAACTATCATCTTGGACTGAAAGGGTTTTAGATAGAGTAAAAGAAGGTTTTAGTGTCCCATTCAGATCACTCTCTTTGTACAAATCCCTCCCTCCCTCCCTCTTCAGGGACCCCTCCCACAGGAGCGTGTTATGGATAGAAGTACAAGCTCTTCTGAGCATGGTTGCTATAAAATAAGTTCCCTTGGCTGTCAGAAACAAAAGATTCTACTCCCATTCTTTTCTAATCGCCAAAGAGAAGGGAGACCTCAGACTGATTTTAGATCTCTGGGATCTAAACAAATATATCAGGAAGTTTCCATTCAGGATGCTTTCCTGGGATCTAATTTTTCTGCTCTAGATTGGTTTGCTGCTCTTGAACTCAGAGGCATATTTCCACATTCCCATTAGACCATCCCACCAAAAGTACTTATGCTTTGTCCTTCTTTATACCTCTTTCAATGCAGAGTCCTACCTTTCAGTCTCTCCACTTCGCCCAGAGTATTTACAAATGTTTAGCTCCAGTAGTGGCACATCTAAGAAAGCAAGGTTCTTCTGTATTCCCGTATTTAGATGATTGGTTGCTGAAGGACCAATCCAAAGAAGAATTAGAGGCAGCCATTCAGAACATTTATTCTCTATTTGGAACCCTGGGTCTCATCATAAACAAACAAAAATCACTTCTCATTCCTTTCATAGGGGAGTCCTTTGACTCTGTCAAAGGAAGGGCCTTTCTGCTGGAGGAGAGGGGTTTGAAAATAGCAGATTCCCTGCCTTCATTGATGACACCCAGTTCATATGGCAGGGCTTTTTCTGAAGCCACTGGGACTAATGGCATCGATGACATTTGTAACACCTATGCCAGACTCAGAATGAGGCCTCTTCAGCACTGAGTCCTGAAGAATTTCTATCCCAGTATGGCCAGCATGCTGAAGAGGATTACAGTACCGCCCGAAACTCTTCATTCTCTTACACAGTAGTTACATCCGCAGAATGTGCCCAAGGAAGTATTCAACCCATCTCAGCCAAAGTTCATAGTAACCATGGATGCATCCAAGGTAGGCATATCTTTACACTCAGGTAGTAAAGGGTCTTTGGAGCCTCAAAGAATCCCGGTTACACATAAATGTATTGGAGCTACGGGCAATCCATTTGGCCCACAAAATGTTTCTCCTGCAGATACGCAATAAAGTTATCCAGGTTGCCACAAACAACATGGCTGAAGTTTATTACGTGAACAAACAAGGAAGGACTTATTTGACCCACCTGTTCAACATAGCAATAGAGGTATGGGATTGGTGCATACAGTACAACATTTACCTGATTGCCTTACGTATTGTAGAAGAACACAACAAGTTAGCAGATTGCCTCAGCAGAGAATTGTCACAAATGCACAGATGGCCCCCAAAGAATTCATTAATTCAGGATATCTTCAAACATCGGTGATTCTTGACTGCAGACCTGTTTGCCACCACACTCAATGCAAAATGCCCTCTTTTCTGCTTAGAAGCAGGAGTGGACAGTCAATCTTTGATAGACACATTTCTCCCCAACTGGGGAATGGATCTCATGTATGCATTTCCCCCATTCCCTTTAATTCCCAAAGTTCTAAACAAACTAAAGCAAGATTCTGCCAGGATGACTATAATCACTCTAGCGTGGCTGAGACAACAATGGTATGCCGACCTACTCCACTTATCCCATGTCAATTACAGGACTCTGCCATTATTGATGGACCTATTTTCACAGCCACAGGGGAAAGTGCTCCACCCAGATCTCAAATTGTTACCTCTAACAGCTTGGGTAAAAGGACTTGGATGGGAATAGAGCGCTCATGCTCCACTGAGGTTCAGTGAATGTTATTAATGCTAGGAAACGCTCTGCTATAAAGTGTTATGACTTCAAATGGAAAAGATTCATGATATGGGCAGAAAATGGAATTGTTGATCCAGTTTCAGCCCCCATTCAGATGGTCTTAGAATATCTGTTACCCTTAGAGGGTCTATTGTTATCACCTGTTAGCGTACACTTAGTGGCTATTTCATCATACATACACATATTAGGGACAAACCCGTTTTCTCACATGACCTAGTGGAGAGATTTTTGAAGGGTCTGCTGAACCTTTATCCATTCACCAGAGACCTTGTCCCCTTGGAATTTGAATTTAGCACTGACTCAAATGAGGCCTTTTGAGCTATTATGAAATTGCTATTATAAAAGCTGGTTTTAAGGAAAGGTGAAATAGGGAGCAATCATTTCCGGTATATGAATTGGTGATTCATAGATTCATAGATTCTAGGACTGGAAGGGACCTCGAGAGGTCATCGAGTCTAGTCCCCTGCCCGCATGGCAGGACCAAATACTGTCTAGACCATCCCTGATAGACATTTATCTAACCTACTCTTAAATATCTCCAGAGATGGAGATTCCACAACCTCCCTAGGCAATTTATTCCAGTGTTTAACCACCCTGACAGTTAGGAACTTTTTCCTAATGTCCATCTGCATGCACTAATGGCAGATTTCCACCCCCCCCTATTCTGTTTTCCATCGGACAAGGTAGTCCTTAGGCCACATCCTAAATTAATTCCAAAAATTGTTTCCGATTTCCATGTAAATCAGTATATAAATGTACCTGTATTTTTTCCAAACCTCATATAAGTAAGGGAGATGCTAGATTACAGTCTTTAAATGCAAAAAGAGTACAGTCATGTTTCCTGGATAGAACTCAGGACTTTAGCTGTTCTCCTAAGTTGTTTATCTCTTATACCAGCTATTCAAAGGGTAGGACCATTTCAGCGCAATCATTATCTAGATGGG